GTTGACTTAGTAGTGAAACTGAATTTCCAAAAAATTGGATGTCCAAAAGAAGAAGATCTTCTGTAAAACTTGTAGATCATCGTTCTGAGTCAAACCGATCAATCGCTGATGCTAAATTTCAAGCCTTGTAAGTATTGAATTTTCAGAATTCCTGCTCTCAGGGCACGTGATAAGCGTGCACCAATTTTCGTGGCTACACGGGCTGGTTACGGACCATTTGGCGGAGGAAGGCGTACGGTAGTTGCTGGTCCAATGGGTGCAATGGTCTCTAGCAGACGCATGATATACGGCTGAAGAACGAAAAGTCGCTTATCAGTTGCCAAATTGCTTCCATGACCTCATAAGCAATACTTGTCTTCTCAATAAATTGAATTCCTTTCCAAAGTTTTTGACTTCTTTGAATATGTATCATGTCTGTAGTGAATTAATGCCATATGCATAAGATGTAAGTAAATAAAATTCACATTACGAACAATTATCCACTTTGTACAAGTCATTTGATGCCTTCATACGTTCACTTGAGTTTGTCAGGTTGAACGATGGTCGTGTTCAATAAAATGAATAAAATTTCAAGAATAATGCCTTTCAATCAAACATAACGCACTGTATCGTGAAAGTTGACTGATTGTGAGCATAACAACCCATCGCAAAGATAGCCGCATCGATGGGGAACTATTGGAAGATTTGAGCAAAGGTCAGGCAAAAGGATCGAATATTTTTGTAAATTTTCATGACAGTAAGCTGATATTTCATTATAATAGTTTCGCTCATCACACATTCGGATTCAGAATTCGACATCCATTGGGCCAACATGAGATCCAGATCGAACATGAGATTATTTCGCAACATAGGTGCGAACGGGCAAATCCACTACCCACATCCCATCATGAAATGGACAGCTATCGCTCTCTTCCATCATATCCTCTGTGCAGATCTTTTCATAGCAGTAAGGACCACTATCACGACGACTAAATACAATATTTTCTCGAGGAATTAAATGCCAAATCGTTTTTCGAGGAACTGAATGTCAAATTAATCCTATCCAGTTGAATGTTATCGTATATTTACGGAGAGCTTGTCTTCAAAGGCAGGATTGCTTTCAACAGAATACGACAGACGGATGTTTTTCCCCAGATGAATTCCTTTTCGAGAAAGTCCCATCATCCGGTCAATTCGCTCACCGACAATTTTCGGGGGATCACTCCAGGGTCATTTTGCTCCTCAGTGAGGTCATTATCCCTGATCAAAGTGTTGCTCCCAGACGAACAATAGTTTCAAATGTGTATCACTGAATGTTAACTCAGCCATTCATGATGAGTTACAAAAATCTTCCAGAGTGGTGATTTCAGAAATTGAAATTTCAATGAATTGTTACGCATGATCTATAGTTACTGATGGAAGATAAACATAAACTCCTTTGAAATGTGCCCAATGTTTGAATAAATCGATGAGAGAATGTAAAATTTCCATTTGAAAACTGTGCGACAGTGTTTGTTTACGTAACCGGAAATGTTTTTATGAAAAAATGACAAAAATTAATCGTTCACATTATGACACTTGATTCAAGAAAGGGTTTTGCTATAGCTTTCCTTATGAGAAATGAATTACATGAGAAAATCATTTTCGTGATTCTCTGCAGATAATCTTTCAATTCGCTTTGAACTAGATCTTCAATGAGCGATTCTGATGTAAATAGTGAAATTTGATTTGACACCAAGAATTAAGTGTAAACATATAAATAATGCGCAATTTTTGTGCCAACTGATATGGTGAGACCGGTTTTCCTGTATATATGATGGCTCAACTAGCGCATGCGCATCTCATAAATAAATTTATCACCAGCTGATGCGGAATCGAGAATGCGTTATTTTTCATTTAGTTTAGATTATTTTGTCTAGCTTTTTCATAACAACATTCCCGATCATGTAAACAAACACTGTCGTATATTTTCCAATGAAAAATGCCACTTGACGGCTCACAAAACTAGGGGAATGTATCATTTCACTTTCCTTTCTAAGAGCTGAGAAGGGGGATATCCATAAATACACAGAAACTTTGTTCTTGTGAAGGCTGCAAATCAAATCCTGTTTTCATTTTAGTTTATAAACCAAAACAGTTTCGAGTGGCTACGGATGAATGCGGATACGTAGCAAAACGGCGACGGATTTCACTATTTAATATTCAGAAAACAGAGGAGAGTCCATGGGTACCTTCTTCAAAGAACTTTTTGGGATGTCGGAACCAGAACATCAATTGACCATCTTTGAAATTGTTCTAATAATCTTCATTGC